CAAAGTCAGACTTTTTCTGAGATAACATGCCAATTTTTTTTCCATATTTTGATTCTCTGACTCAAATTATGCCTAATTTATGGTGAGGAATTTAAAAATTTATCTTGGTGCGCATTTTTCACTTTACGCCAAGAATAATTCACTCGGCAATCTTCTTAATTTATAGCAACCTGTTTTTCTTTCCTTTTTTTTTTCATTGTAAATGAGCGGGACAAAATGTCATCGTTCATACTTTCAAATAATTTTAACAAAGTGTGTAAACCACAATTGCTGTTACTATCACTTATAACAAATATGCCAGATTTCAAAATGTGCCAATATGTAAATTCACCTATATCTTAGGAAATATTGAATGTAAAACTCTAGTTTTTTGCAGGTATGCTTTTAAGATGATGTTAAAAATTTTATAGGTTATTTAAATTTTTTTCGAAAAATTCATAAAAGTTATTTAAAAAGACAAATTTTAAAAATAAATCATAAAAAATGGACACATTTTATTTGGAGTGAACCTAAATTTCAAATTTTGGAAGAATGAATCAAGAAAGTTTAAAAAAAAAAAGGGAGACTAATGAATATATATTAAATTCAATTAACATTGAGGACCTAAAATTTTGAGACCTAATTAAAAAAAAAAAAAAAAAAAAAAAAAACTACTCATGCGATTTTTACAAAACTTGGCATTTTGTCATAATTTGAGTCATAGAATCGAAATATGGAAAAAAAATGGCATGTCGTTTCGGCAAAAGTCCGACTTTGTGTCAAAATACCTTATTAGAACTGGTATATATAAATCTAATACAAATCCTAAGTCACGCTTTCGAGACATAAAAAGCACAAGTTGAGTTTCATTAATCGGTCCTGTAGAACAGGAGATATAGAACTGTCCCAGATTTTTTTTTTTTTTTTTTTTTTTTTTTTTTTTTTTTTTTTTTGTGCTGTGTAACATCCACAACAACTTTTCAACAGGAACATACATGGCCGTCCGGATCATGGTCTATCACATGTGCATCCAGTTTCTTCAAAAAAAAAATTTAGCAAATCAGGTACCATTTTTATGGAACATGAGTCTTAGCTTACGATTTTGCCAGTAAACTCACACTGCTTCAGCAGCATTTTCCTCATTCACATAAAACAGCTGTATCAATTCACCTTGCTTCCCTGAAAGTGTTATCTTGTTAGCATGCTCAAACACCTCATTGAAGAAACAGTCTTCGCTCACTGCTTATTATTAAAGGTTTTCTGAAACAATACTTTGCTCATTGTGTTCTGCGATTGGTGCTTTTGCGGTCTATCTGTATGAACAGGGTTCATGCAGTCCTTTAAAAGATACTAGGTTTTATGAAAATGAATTTTGGTCTTTAAAAGTCGTTAATTTTGGCTGAAGTCAGCTAGAGTTCGTGGGCAAGAAGTGAGGAATAAGTATTTTGTAATTACAGTCAAAAGTCGTTAATTCGGACACCCATAATCCGGAATGATCTATAATCCGGACCTCAAAGCTACAAACTTTCTGCGCATGCGTCGCGTTGACAACGCCGCGGTGCGCAATGAATTGGAAGTTGATCTGTCAGCACTATCCTTATCTTCAGGGCAGATGTTTTTATTTTATTTGGCTTATAATTCCTTACTAAATTTAGTATTTCATCTCGATGTACTCAGTCTTTGATGTGATTTAAATCAAATTCCTCGTCATTATAATTCACTTCCGATAGTGAAGAAAGTGACACAGAGGTTATTGAAAACAAAAAAAATTTCGATTGACAAATTAGTCGGTATTCTCGACACAGCAATTATGGGACTTGAACAGCGGAACTTTGTAACTGAAGAAGAAATTATGTCTGTTTATAGAATTAAAGAGAAAGTATTATCACATAAAATGGAGCAACTTAAACAGCTTACATTAAAAGAAATGTTTAATAAAGTAAACAAATAAATATTAAGCTTTTTTTGTGTAAATTTTGATATCCTTTAGATCATAATTGTTCTTTATTTCATAAATTATAGTTTCATATTTTTAATTTTATAACTTCTGCATGCCATTTTACCAAATTTTAACTGATGATCTATAATCCGGAAAAATCAATAATCCGGAATCGCCGAAGTCCCGATGAGTCTGGATTAACGACTTTTGACTGTATTTCTTTTTTTTTTTTTGCTAATCAAGTGCTCATAAACAAGTTTTCTCTCTTGGGGATGTGAATTCTTTTACTAAATGACCCTAAATTTGGCAACTTTGGTGATTTTAAGATAAATTTCTATACAGAATTTTTAGTTCGAAGGTTTGTGAAATTTTTGATGAATTTTTAAAACATTATAACATTGATAAATTTAATTTTATTAATGATAATTATTAAAATTATATTTAAGAAATAACATTAAAAAGCATTTTTCCATGTCATATCATAAATTGCCAAAATGGGCATTATTTCCCATTTTGGTGACTTATTATTAAAATATTTTGAATCTGAAAAATGAACAAGATGATAAATCCTATAAAGCATAGTTTTCGAAAAATTTCCTAGCAAACGAAAACTATCAATAGTAATTGTTTTTAAATGTCTATAATTTTCAATGGTAAGAGTCTTCTGTGTAATTGACTCAAGTTTCAAAATGTATACAAGTTTTCTCTATAAAATTCATTTTATACTTTTTCTCTTTTTTTTTCTTTTTTTAAATAATTCTGGCTTATTGCTATTACAAAACTGGAAGGGATAATTTTTCTTTCGGATTGTAAACTTTGCACCTCGGAAAGCTTAGAATTTGAAGGTAAGATTCCTAGGATTCCAGAAAAAATGTGACAAAATTAAAAACATCTTCATGGTATTAACATGTAATGGATGTATTTAACAGGAAGTATGTGGTGAAGTTCATCATACTTTTTGAAAGAACAATGAGAACATAAATATTTGAATTTTCTACTTGATGCTTGAAGTCTTTCTCATAACATGTTTATCTTCCTTTTATTTTCTCTTCTTTTCACCAGACGCAAGCATGGAAAATATCAAAAATGCTTCTAATCTCGCATGAACAGGCAGAAAGGAATTTTCTATGAACAAATTGACATTTGATAATTTAAACAATTCATCTTATATGTCTCAATGCATCACATCCAGGGCAGGCACCAAGCATTTTTCCACCTGAGGAAGTTTTTGTGGGTCCTAATTTCTGCTAAAATTTTAAAATGGTTGCCGTCTCTAAATTCTGCCCATTGCCTGTCCTAAATTCTAAAAATTTTGTCATCCCTTGATTTTGTTATTTGGTGTTTTACTAAATTCTAAAAGTTCTGTCACATCGGCTCTTATACTGACCTTGACCATATATCATTTCATATTTGTTCTCAATATTCATATTACTAAAGAAATAAAATTAGCAGTTGTAAATAACTGACGTTTTTTAGAATAACTGAAATTTTTAATTAAATCCAAAAATTCTAAAATGAAGAGGGAATTTATTGAGAAAGAAATTGAATACATAAAGAGAAAGAAAATTATTCTTCAAAGGTATATTCTTGAGATATTGACAAGTTAGGAGGTGAAGCAGAAACGTGGGAACAACGGTTTCCTTACCAAAACAAATTTCTTGTTGTTGTAAAAGATACTTGAAGAGAAGGAAACAGATATAAATTAGCCAAAATATCTAGTAAGGTTTCAAATTAAAGACACATAAATATTTTGTTGTGTTTTGTTACAAAACATAATTTTTTACCTTTTAATGTATAATTATCCTAATATAGTTTAAGAATCACTGTCATAAATTAAATATGTTTTAATCTGTGTAATGTTCTTAGATTGTGATTTTAAAAGTGCTTTTTTAATAAATATTTTTAAAAAGTAAAATTTAATAGTAGCCATGTAAAATCCATGATGATTAAGTTATCTAACTACCTAATTTAATTATTTGTAACTAAATAGCTCACCCTTAAAGGTTATCTCTATATGTTAAAACAAATTATTGACTATAATTAATCCTTACTGTGGTTGCAAGATACAACACAAAAATGTAAAAAAAAAATCTAAAATTTATTCTTTATAGCTAGTGAGACTTAAAATAATGCAACACACCTTATCACTTCTAGTGCTTTAGCTGTTTATTGGAAACTTAAAGTATATTAACTGGGTTACAATTTCGGAAACTCTACAGGAAGCTAAGACACTAACTGCATCAGACAGATGGAGCATAATTAACTTTCATCACTTACCAATCATGCAAACATCAGGTGTTCAGGTTTTTTTCAGATCGCTAAGTTCCTCCATAGGCAAGCAGCAGCATTGGCAACAGCCAAACTTCTGTTACAACTCATGCTGATTATGATTTTATTTCTCATTCCAACCAATGCCGTTTGACATAAAATCTATCTGCTATTCACTAAGCCTAGTTTCCCTTAAAAAGGCATCTCTCTCCTTAGGCAACCAGTAGTTGAGTGTTTTACCATAATCAAATAAACCAAAGCAAAACTGCATATTTTTGCAATGTAAGGATTAGTTTCGTGTATCGCGTAATAAGTTAAGACAGAAGATGAGATTTTTGTGTAACTGTTGACTGAATTCAATTTTAATACTTGATATAGCTTTTTAATCCTAATTAATGCTGTAATGTTTTTAAATCATAAACATTTTTAATTAAAACAATTACTTTTATATAACTTTTTGAAAATTTGTGATATCATTTCTAACAAAATATAGTTTTTTTAGGTATTATTTTAATGTTGTGGAGAATATGTTTATTTATGTAGGATTTTAATGTTTGTTGTCATAAATGTTTGATGATATAACTGCTTGAACACAGATAATAACTGGTTATAAAAATAGTTTTCTGAAACTATTAATGATGCATTTTATTTATTTTTATTTAGCAGGATTTCTTCCATTTTGTATAGTTATTAAAAAGAAAAAATTCTTCATTTTCTTCCTTTTTTTACATACATGAAGTAATTATAATATTAAGTATCGAGTAAAATCTTGTGTGGGTTGAATATTTCATGTATAAAATAATTTCAATTTTAGAAAGCTCAGGAGAACCAGAATGTGAAAAAGGAACTTCAGCAGCATGTTGGACAGTTATTGAAGGATGGTGCACAAGTGAAAGAAGTACGACTTGATTTAAATTATTAAAATATTATCCTGATTAGAATTCATGATAGAGCAGGTTATGTCTGTACACATTTTCTTTTTAATAAATTGATTAAAAAAGGAAAATACTAAATTAATGAAAAATATTATATCGAATACTTCAGGTTATATTACCACATGTATTTATTGCAATAAAATTATGAAACAGGCAGATATTATTCATGGAACATTTTGGGTCAGAAAAACTGTCTTTATATAAACTTTTATTGCTAAAGTGAAACTCTGGAACAATTTTTAAAGCATTATATATTTGATTTGATAAATTTGTAATAGCAAGTTATTTTCTAAGAATGTTAATTGCTAAGAATCTAATAAATTATATTATGAATTGAATTTCCATATTGTGATATTTTGAATGTACATCATTGACAAGCAAAGTCAGTGCAGATATTTTAAGATTAATTTTATTGTATTCTAGATAATTCCTGTTGTTAGAGAACAGATGAAAAAATACTCCTTACCTGAACCAGAAGTTGCTGTTTTAGTAAGTGCACATTAAAATTAAGAATCCTGAAATATTGAAGCTGTGATTGTAATAATTTCTTTAAATGCATTATATAATTATAAAACTTTTTAAAGTATTTTTGAATGCTGAAAGTTTTATTATTTTTGAATGCTGAAAAAACTAACATTGTGCGTGACTTTCAAAATGTATGTTATTGTAGTTAATCATGACAAAAAGCTACATATTCCTTGACAAGCTATAAATATAAGGCCATGGAAACAATTTTTGAAGTGCTTATTTGACCCTGCATAATTTGTTTTCAAAACTTTTATGACGCTAACAGAGTACATAGTTTGACATTCAGAATTGTCAGAGCTTCAGCGATTCTATATTTCAGAAATTTTGGGAATTTTGATGATTAGTTTAAATATAATAAGGTGACATAGAAACATTGCAGAGTTGGGGCTTTGCTTATTGTTTATGCCAGGTAGGAGAATGCTAAGCTTTCAGCGGGACCAACTGGACTGATGACAAAAATTTTAGAATTTTAGAGGATCACCAAAGCAGTGAAACTTAGGGACTGCAAAACTTTAGAATTTAGAGAGGAACTGGGAGCAGAATTTAGGACACACTGAGATTGCTCTGGGTGACAAAATTCATAACACTGTTCTTGCCCCCCTCCAATAACCACTAAAGGGCCAAGAATGTGATCTTGGCTAATATAAATACAATGTCGGTTATTATATTGTTATTGACTCAACATCTTAGCTAGAAGGTATTCGAAAGTGACATACAGAAATCTTACTCTGGAGGAAGATACCATTTACGGCACTCCTGCCTACTCCTGCTTTGTTTAGTGTTATATTCTGTATTTCTAGATTTAATAAAGGGGATTTTTGTATTGTTTGATTTTATTTTTATTTATTTATTTATTCATTCGTGTTCCAGAGATCTGTATACAGTGCAAAGTCCAAGATCCGAACGTCAAATATCTGGAATGATCTAATATCCAGACTTTAAAAGCCACTAATAACTTTTTTTTTTTTTGTGCGTGTGTATATGCTTTACGCATGTATGTTTGATTATCCCCCCCATTATAAAACATGTAGAAAGTCCCAATTCTTAATTTCACTTTGGCTCTAAATGAAATACCTTGTTATTTAAGAAGCAATCATTTTAGCATAAATTTGACTCGATAGCTGCGTATCTGCTTGGCATACATCTCAAACTGAAACATTTTACATAGAAACATCGTTGATTTTACACCTACTAATTTTTTATATCCCTAATGCCAACCTGGCAAATCATTACTTATTATATTTTGCTTTTATCACCGCATGTTTATCAAACACCTGACAACTCATATAATGACTCATGCAATGGTGCTTAAACAATTTTTTTTATATTAGTAATTGAATACCAGAGTATGGGTAAATTTTTCTGTTGACATTATGGTTGACGATGATTACAGATTTAAGTTAAATGATCTAAGAAATGTTGAGGAAAAATTTAACAAAAAATTTCTTTCCACATGCTAAAAACAGATTTTTGTTAATGATACTCATAGGCCAAAATATTGCATTTAGTTTTATTTGAATTAAGACTAACTGATTTGTTATTTACATAAACCCAGAACTGGCGCCAGAGATCGTATCGTCATAACAGGTGGCAGAATTTAGGGAAGACGAAATTTTTGGAATATAGAGAACCATCGAGCAACAAAATTGTAGGTTGACAAAAGTGTTAGAATTTAGAGAATGCAGTGGGACCCAAAATTTAGAAGTGGCGAAAATTTAGAACTTACGGATGCACTTGGTAGCATAATTTAAAACTTACCACCCGATGCACACAGAGAGTGCATCGGGTGGTAAGATATCTAGCGGTGCCCCTCAATAAGCCTTAAGTATGTTTTGGAATTTATTTATTCAACACTCAGATAAGCCTTAAGCATGTGCAAGAAATAGACGTAAGTATAATAAATAACTAAGCTAATGCAATTCAGGCTTAATTGTCTCAGTGCACGATAGAAGCAAGACAAAATTTAGCAGAACAACTTGTCTTTCATGGCCAATCTCATAATAAATAGCCAATATAGTATGCTATTTAACTAGACTATAATTATACTTTACAGATTCCGAGGAATTTCAGTTAATGTAGCAGACTGCACTGTTCCTTAACTTTCTGATTTGATCCAGCTTATTATTTTTTTGCAGGCTGTTATTATTACGGCAATTTTACGAAAATTAAAGTTTGAACTTTCAATTATGTCAAAAAGAATTTCGAATTCTGGAGCTGCAACAGAATCTACAAAGCAAAAGCATGTTTCAGTGGCCATTAAACAAAAAGTGGAATTGCTGCAAAAAAATAATAAAGGTATATCCATTTCAAAATTATGCGAGGAGTATGGCATTAGAAAGTCAACTGTATATGACATAAGAAAACATTATTCCCACCCACTGTATATTTTACTGTGTGTTACAACGTGTTTGTTAGATATGTCCATCTTAAGAATTTCACAAAAGTTCATTCCATCAATGGCGGTGTATATTTCTTAATGCCAATGCATGCTTCTGTGAATGTGTTTGAAAAAGGCCAGGCCTCTTGCTGATGCATGCTTTTTGCCTTGGCGATTTTTGCAGTGATTTTTATATTAGAGGGCCTCTGCAAGTCTTTGTAGACTTTGTTGCAAATTATCACTTTCAAGAATCTTCTGTATATTTCTTGTGCAGAAGATTTTTGATAGTAGTGAACAAGTTGAAGCAAAATGTTTACTATCCTGTAACACCAGTATTTCAAATGGTAATTATTTGAACTGCCTATAGCAATGTCTCAGTCACAAGCTCTCCCTTTTGGCACAGATGGCTGGCATTTATCACTACATTTTCTTGTGTAAAATCTTCAATTCATGTATTTATTTTGTATTCCTAATTGAATTTAGTGTTTGTTAGGTTATATATTGGTTTTCCTTGTCCTATTCAAAACAGATAAAACCAAAATCAATTTATAAATGAATGTACCCAAAATTGCATCTTTCTTCTTTCCCCCCTTTTTTTAAATAAAAAAAAGGAAAAATTTCTTTAAAATATCTTTTTAACTTTCTGAAGAAAGTAGTTTGCACAAATGCTTTCATATTTTATTGCATCTTGTATGCAGTGCTTATCAGGAGCCCAAGCTCAGTACCAATTAATTATCAAAAACAAGTGATGAATTTGTCCTGAATTAATGCTATAAGACAAGTGAAAAAAAACTTTATCAGAGTGCAGTTTGTTTAAAAGCTGAAATACAGTCATAATAGCTAATATGAAAGTTTAAAAAACTGTGTGTTGCTCACATTTAAACTTAATACATAACAAAGTCAGAGATCTGGAATCACTGGGACTTTAGCTTTTCTGGATTTCGAAAATTTCCCATTTCATATCATTGGTTTGAATGTAGTAAGATGACATGTAGGCGTGGCAACATTCAGGCTTCATGTATTGCTTTAGTCAGATAGAAAAGTGCCAGCCCTATAGAGGGCTGGCACCAGATCCTGTGCAGCCGGTGTCGCTGCACTGGATGACAGAGCAAAATTTTTAGAGTTTAAGGGTGTACAATGCAGCAGAATTAAGGATCCGCAGAGATTGGCCCTTGAGGAAAAATGTGCAGCACTGGCTCTGCCTCCCCATTCACAATTGCTCAAGGACTGAAAGTGTGATCTTGGCCAAAATCAATACAGCATCAGTTGGTGCATTGCTATTGGCCTCGGTGTGACCTCCTAGCCAGCAGGTGTTTGAAAATGATGTGCAAGAATCTCAGTCCCAAGAAAAATCACATTTATAGCATACCTACTTCTTTTTGTTACTATATTTTCCATTCTCAGACTTTTTCAAAGAGAGGATTTTTTATTTTTGGCTGGTGTCCCAGAGTTCCATATGTTGGATCATTTCAGATATTGGATGTCTGGATTTTAGGCTTTGAACTGTACCATTGCATCTAATAGTAGGCATTGATTTCTTTTGTATTTGATCATTAAGTTATGAACATAAATGAATGAATGAAATCAGTGCTACCACATGTAGCATTCCCAAATCACAACATACTACTGAAGATATTTTCGTAATGCAAATGAGAAAAATGTGTCACCTACAATAAGGGGGAAGGAAAGAAATTGTGTAAACAGCCTTGAAGTGTGCTTTGTTATTTTCTCACCAGTGTAATAAGAATAAAAAAAAAATTCTGAGGCTAAACTTTCATGCTGTACTACATCCTCCAATGGATGATATAAGATAAAGTGATTGATTTAGTGATTGAGTTAGATTTTAGTGTTGTAAGGTTCACCTTCTCCAGGAATTTGTGAGATAAAATTTTTAGGGTAACTTATATTTTGTACTAATTAATGCAAATATTATCATTGTGTGCGTGGGGTCTCTACCAGAAGATAATCTTTCTCCTTCTTTTGAAGTGGAGGAGAAAGATTATCTTTAGAGAGATAGGAGAGTTCTACCTCTGGCTAAGCTGATAAGGCTGCTAAACACTGGTAGTTTGACCTGCATTTCAATTCTAGCAAATGGGTTTATTGTATGAGAGATTGTGTGGTTTTCCCCATGTGGAACATGAAGATGAACCAGTTTTTTTTTTTTTTTTTTTCAGAAATCCTCCACAAAGACATTCCTTCACTTAGGTAGATAGTCCTGGAGTGCCTTACCATAATCTAAATGATTGCAGTCTTATTTCGTATTTTAGCAGAATGTGAAAATACTGGTATCGTTTACAGAAACCCATACCTCAAAATTGTATCCTCTATGAAAAGGTGGACTTTACAACATAGGTTATGTTTTAAAATTTTGTTCCCTTCATTTGTTAAAATTATTCTTTTTACAAATTGTCAAAATGTTCAACCAGTGATGAGCTGGCTAATTTTGAAATACATTTTTCATGAGGAGAAATGTTTCAGTCAAATATTGCGCCTTTAATTTGTTTACTTTCATATTTTAATGATGATGTGGAATTTTGCTGATCTCCTTGTTTCATGTAGTTTTAAGTGTTAGATATTTACGTTTTGAATATTGTAACACTATCTTTGTAATATCCCATATTGCATCTTCTTGTTGAAGATGAAAAGTAATTACATATGTTTTAATAAAACAGTTTCATTGCTCCCAGACAAGTTTCTAAATTGTCACTTAAATTGAAGTGATGCAAACTAGGGTATGGCTTATGATGTGCAGAGTGTTTGCTTTTTCAGCCTAAAGTTTAAATCTGTCTAGAAAGCTTTCATGTAACAGCACTGCCATAATTTTGCCTCTGCACATTTTAATGTTCAGTAATATTTATAACATTTTTAATGCTACCACTTCTTAATATAAGGAATTATATTGTGTAATAGGTCCTAATTTTTGTAATAACAAAATTTGTGGTGATGTACCTAAAATGTAACAACTGTTGATCATTGACTGTATCAAGTACTGAATCAAGTATTCTTGTAAAATAAGCTTATTTCTGTAATTCGTTATGTTAATGCATCTCTTATTTGTAATTAACATCATTAATTCATCACAAGTGTGATAAGAATGATAATTTGACTTTTCGTAACCACAGCTGATTTTTTCTTTAATTCAATGCAAAAAAGTCGTCATGCATACAAATAATGTAAATATTATTAGTTTCCACAAACATCAGAAAAAAATTATTGCCTTTAAAATTAACCTTAGTTTACTCACGGGGAAAGTTCCTCACGATAGTCAGCAGAAAATTTTCAAGTGTGATCAAGTATATGAATGAAACAACAGATCTAAAATGTGTCATTTCACAATCTTATGCAGTCCCTAAAATGGAGGGCATAAAGTGACTTGCATGCCCATAATATTTGTGGCCACAGACTGGCAAATATAATGTATCTGTAAGCTGCAAAGTCTGTGCAATAGGGTGGAGTGGAAAAGGCAATTATTTTCTAATTTTATTATTTCCTGACCCAACAAATGGTTCTGTTCAATGAAGTTAAAAACAGTAAAAAATCTGCAACTTAACTTAATCGCTTATCGTTTTCAGGTTCCATATGAGGCAAATAATAATAATAATAATAATAATAATAATAATAATAAAAAAAAAAAAAAATCAATGTTAATGAAAACATCAAGCTATTTTTAGCAATATTTAGCCCAAAGGGCATTAGCCCAGAAGGCCTATTAATTTCTTTTTGGCAACTTGCATTGAAAACTTCAGATGTCCGTTTCACTTTTTAAATTGTTGCTACCAAATATTATCGGTCCGTGTTATATTAACAGAAATTAAATAATAAAGAAACTGCATAAATGTATCTATGTTTCTCACATTTTGATGAAACAACGGTACCTAGAGTCATCAAATTTTGTATAATGTAATCCTTCACCAAATGTGGGCACCTGGAAGCCCTGATTTGGAATTTGGATTTTTTTTTTATCGATTTCATATTTTATAACACTTTAATGAATTTTTGATTAACAAACCTAGCAATTTCAAAGTGAGCTATAGCAACACTGGAAAAAAAACTTTCTTATCTACAGCATGCGAGACTGTATATCGGAAATTCTAAAGCCATGCTCATTTTAAAATTATCTTGTGATATTGCTGTTGAATTGATTTTATGGTTTAAGTGCGAAGAATATGATTTTTAATGTATAAAGGTAACACACAAAATGTTAAAAAAACGCCCCTTTGGGCGTAATGTAAAATCTGAAAGCCTTCAGATTTTTTTTTTACAACAATTTTGTTTTCTGACCCAACATATGGTTGTAATTGGTAAAAAAAAGTGCCATTAAAAAGTTTCAGCTTAATCACTTGTCTTCAGCTTCCACAAGAGAACCAAAGAAAAATCATCACGGTGTCAAACTTCGTAAGTTCATTCAGGGGCTTTTATGTGTGAATGCATCTCTGCCTTCTGCACCAAATGTTGGCAATGATGCTTCTGTCATCAATCTCATATGCCTCTCTTCTACTGATTTCTTCTACTTGATTCTTCTACTTGAGAACAGCAAGGGAGGTTTCCTATTTTAAACTAAGAAAAATAAATATAAAAACTAAAAATTTTAAACTGATTTTAAACAATAGCTACCACTTTTATTTTATAGAAATGAATACTTATATAGTAGTTGGAGAAAAATGCAAAAATTGTAATTTTTGTTCACAAGTGTTGATCTTCAGTTGTTACTTCAATTCCATGGACAATATCCAGGAAAGTCTAGCCTCTAATCAATCTTAGTCTTTGTCGCTGAGGTTCAAGGTAGCCAATGGTTCCAAGGGATTGACCCAGTGAATCATCTGAAAATAATCCTGGTTTGAAATTCAATTTTGGAAACAAAAATTATCACGTTTCCCCTTTCCAGTCAATTTTTCTTGCATTCATTATTATTCTTAGGCCAAGTTCATGAATATATGCTTGTTCATCTTACAGCATCACCAGCAGGATATTTTCAGAGGGAGCAAAATAGCAGTTCCTCTGAATAATTTAGTGAAAGGTTGCCTTAAAATTTTCTGGCAGGAATGAACTTTTATCAACCATTTCATGAATATGACATGCTCCATGTGTTGCTCTTGGAATTTTCTTTATTTCAAACCAAGATGACACGTAAAATTTTATAACATATTTGGTTAGAAACTTCAAGCCATCTGTTGGTTCAGCAGCTGATACGTAAAGGTGAACAATTCTGTTGCCTGTAGTGAACCATCTTCCCCAGCTTCCTATTTGCTAAGGTCTGAAAGGCACTCCCTCAAGTATACTGCCTTAGAAATATCAATGAGGTATTTTTGGTCAGTACTGAGGTCTTTTTTGCCAATTTCAACTGGAATAAAGACATAACCTGCCACGGGAAGGGTTTCACTTGTTTTCATGGATTTTCCTATTGTTCCAGAAAACTGTTGTGTCCCATATGTATATCCATCAATCTTCTGGAAAAGATGAAGAGCATTTGTGTACAACAAGCATACAAATCAATGTATTTTATAGCTAACAAAGAAAGATCTCGGGCCATCTGATTATGCAATTTTTTCCCCCACTGCTGATGCTTGTTCCATCGTATCCAACAGCAACTAGTTTGGAAAGTTCAATCCCTTTCTGGGTAACAATGTTTATGATGCTTTGTGTAGTATCAGCACTGGACCTAGAATCTGGAGTTACATGTCCTATATAAGCAGAATCAGGTTCTGAGAAGAGAACCCTATGCTTTTCCTCTGCTGTAATCCTGCAAAAAGAATTTCCTTCTTCTCATACACTATAATTTTGTCCTTCCTTCCATCAGAGTAGATGCCACACAAATACTGTATTATTTGTGTAGCTGTTGACTGAAGCTGGGACCGTACCTTATGACACTCTCTCCGCAGTTTACTCCTGTCAATAACCTTTAGTTGTATATTATCTTTAAATACAATTTCCAAAAGAACTTACCTCAGGTATTTTAACCGAAGTATGGAGCTTTTCTTTCAAATTCTTGAAATGTCACAGGAAATAATTTCAATAATATCTTTTACTGATGGGTCTTTATTGTTTCCTTTTCATAATAGCTTCTTTCTGACTCAAAGGAAATGCTCCATTACATCAGCACATGTGGGTAATAATGTCTCTTTAAGTTGTACTGAAGTTCCAAAAACATTACAAAAAGACCCACTTCTAGTTGATGTCATCTTAATATAACATAAACAATGATTGATAAAGTAGGATTGACAAAACACACCGAACAACCAACTATTAACAATAAAAAGTCATTGAAAGATCATGGAAGTCACGTGATTGTTTACCTCAAGCTAAGAACCATTAGTTACATTCAGTTAGTGTTCAGTATTTTTCTGGAAGTGGTACATGTTCTTATTTAATACCTTTAAATACTCAGAATTTTCATATGTAACATGTACTCTCAATATATTCTAAAGAAATTCATAGTTTACTGAAGTTTGTCATGTTCCTGTACAAGATGCATTATTTATATATAAAAAATACATACAACTATATAAATTTAAATTAGCTGCCATTATTTTCCTATGCATTATACATAGTAGTTATTATGGTGACTGTAGAATATAATAGGAAATTATCTATGATTTTTTTAGATTAATATTGTAGAAGATTGAAATAAAGTTTGTTACTAAACTTTGATAAGTGAAATTGAATACTGAAACACTGGAAACTAAAATAATTATTAACATCTTTTCAGAAAAACTAATTTTTCATTTTTCTGGTTTTTTTCAGGTTTAGTTTATCAAAATTTGATTGTACATGTAATGTAGATATCTGAAGTTTTTATTTTAGTGTTTCTTGGCCACTAAAAATTTCATTTTTGAACAGTTATGGACATCTTTAATGACTATGATGGAATGGAACAAAAAAGAAGAGATGGTACCTGAACAAGCTGTGAAACATTTGCGGCAGTACACTTCATTGTTATCAGCTTTCACTCGTAATGCTAAAGCAGAACTTGCTCTTCTTGTTAGAGTGCAAGAATATTGTTATGATAATATGAACTTCATGAAAGTGTTTGAGAAATTTGTTGTCCTGTTTTATAAAAGTTAGTTGACTTTATTATTTATTTTAATATCATTAAGCTCATAAAAATTTTAGGTATAGTGAATGCTAAAATTTTAACAAAATTTACATTACTTTTTAAATTTTCCATTACAAAATTTGTATTTAAAATAGTTTTTTCCAAAATAATTTTTTGAAGAAATGTTTCATAATTTTTCAGAAATTTGTATGAAGTGAATAATGAGACAATACCTATTTTAGATTATAATAGCAATGCTATAGATAGAGCTCCCATATCATGATTTGTGAAAATCTTGAAATGAGATTTCTACTTTTGTTGTGTACTTTTTCTTTTTGTATCTTTAAATTAAATATTTATATATGTGTATATATAGTAATTAAATATTTATATATGTGTATATATAGTAATCCTAAGCCAAAGAATATTTAATGCTGTGGAAAATACTGCACAATTAAGAGAAAATATATAGATTTAATATCAATCAAAGCTAGTAAACTGTCCACCAGAAAGACATAAATTAAAAATAATTTTTGACACTATACTTTTCATTAGGACCACATGAGCTACCTGTGACTGGTTGTATTCTTGTTCAGACTGCATCAGTCACCAGTAGCTGAGAGTATACTTTTGGTTCAAGCCCTATTATTCACTGTGTAAAGTAGAGTTTGTAGTTTCTTATGAATTGCATTAAGCTTTTATGCCAGTATACACTCTTAGACCAAAAAAAAAAAAAAAAAAAAAAACAAACACCAAGAAGGTGTTATCCAATTGGGATGAAAATCTGTAGAAATGATGTACATGTACAGAAAAACAAACGATTATAGTTTGAGAAAAAATTGGATGATTTATTGAAGTGATAGTGCTTCACAAAATGAAAAGTCAGTAATACGTTTGTTTACCTCTGGCGCTTATGCAAGCAGTTATTCAGCTTGGCATCAATTGATAGAGGTTGTGGATGTTGTCTTGAGGGATATCGTGCCAAATTCTGTCCAATTGGTGTGTTAGATCGTCAACATCCCGAGCTGGTTGGAGAGCCCTGCCCATAATGCTCCAAATGTGCTCAATAGGAGAGAGATCCGGCGACCTTGCTGGCCAAAGCAATGTTCAGCAAGCAGTAAGGCAAGCAGTAGAAACAAGTACAGTGTGGTGGCGGGCATTATTTTGCTGAAATGTAAGCCCAGGAGGGCGTGACATAAAGGGCAACACAACGGACAACCTTAGAACTTCGTCGACGTACCGCTGTGCTGTAAGGTTGCAACAGATGGCAACTAAAAGGATCCTATTATGAAATGAAATGGCACTCCAGACCATCACTCCTGGTTGTCGGCCTGTCTGCCGGAAGACGGTCAGGTTGGTATCACACCGCTGCCCAGGGCATCTCCAGACTCGCCTTCGCTGGTCATCAGGGCTCAGTTCAAAGCGGGACTCATCACTGAAGACTATTCTACTCTAGTCAGTGACATTTGAGTGTGAATGAGCCCAACACCACTGCAAATGGGCTTGACGGTGTACAGAGGTCAATAGTAGTCGGCGCAAGGGGCGACGTAACCTCAGCCCCCTTTCTGTGAGCCGTTTATGAATGGTCCTTGCAGTCACTGAAGCACTAGTTGCACATACAATCGATGATAATGATGCATCTGGGGCTGTGAGTGCCACTCTGACAATTGCTCGGTCTTCACGTTCTGTCGTTTCTCTATGCCTAACGCTTCCTTCTTGACGCTGTGTGCGGCCATGGTTCACCCATTCCTGCCAACATTGTTTAATAGTGGCATCACTCCTGCTCAAATGTCGAGCTATTCGCCAATAAGACCAACCGCCTTCTTTGAGGCCAACTACACGACCTCTCTCAAATTCTGACATCTGCGCTTAGCGTTCGCGCACCTGTATGAGAGGCATAGTTACTGTCTACCAGAGTACACGGAATGAAATTCGTGAAGAATTTATGACCTGGAATCGTAATTTCTCCTCTTAAATATCCTGCCAGTTGAGCAGATCAGATGCGCTGTAGCGACAACCGTTCATTCATTGGCAGCCAAAATGTAAAATTTTGCATTTTCCATCGAAACCTGTATGCATATCAATTTGCGTTCAATTTGCTTTATATCTTCTCGGTTGCGTCGATTTTTTTTTTCTAAGAGTGTATATTCTTGTGTTTTGCTATGCTTGTAGGTAATGGCATTATTCAATTCAGTTTCAATTAGTGAGACATACAAATTTTCTCAGATAATGCTGAAATTATTCCTGGTTTTCTCTATTTTGGTGATTACAAATTTTTGTTTCAAATCTTGTATGAGGATTGAGAAAAATCTATGGTAAATTGTTGTTAAATTCAATTCATCGAAATCTTTGCTTCATTTCTGCAAGCACTTTAACTTTCCAATCCATAAAGGCATAATTTAATGCAACTAACACGACTTTTTCCTGACATGCTTGGCATTCTCTGAATTGACGAATGGAAAATGTACCTGCATTGTACTTTATTTAATAACTACATTGATTTAAATGATAAGATCTTTCAGCGAATTAGAGGAATCCCAATGGAACAAACAGTTCTGCACTGATCTTTTATCTATTTCTTTGTGCTAACGAATATAAATTCCAACTAGGTTTGAATAATAATGTATTAAAGTTATCTGCAGATACTTTTAGATACATTGATCATGCTATAACTTTTGACAATGATTCTGGTATAGAGCAATTCAAAATTTGCCGAGCTAGTTTAACACTTCATAGAGCTAATATAACTCAGGGTATTATTGAATACCTTTAACTGCAAATTCTTAAACATAGCAAAATTAAATTATATGATAAAAGGAGAGATTTCAAATTTGAGACTATCAAACTGACTAATTGGAACTCTAATATTTCTAAAAAAGTAATGTTTAGCACTTTTATAGCCAAATCATTAGGCTAAAAAATATATGTAATGAAATAGAAGATTTAAAAGGAGAAATAATAAAGTTAATGAATGTACAAGTAGATAACAAGGTCCCAGCACAATTTATTTATTTTCTACATTAAAATAGGCAGGCATTAACTTTTCTATTTAATTTATTGACTCTTTATGACATGATAGCATTACCTTAAACCTTAGCTTGGAGGGTAATGGTGGATAAGGGAGAGCTAATGGATTAGTTTTTATGGAAATATGTATATTTCTATTTAATGTATACTGGCTTCTTTCCTTTTATTATTGAGGGGCCAGCTCTTTTCTTTCTCACTAATAGCTCGAATTGAGTGAAGATTTTTAATTTTCCCCTATTTTCCTTACATTTGGCTAGTATTTTGTTAGTTTTAATTTAACTTTGGTTTAACTTCAATTTTATTTTAATCAATTTTTTGTAATTTTTAATTCCATCTATTTTTAAAATGTGTAAACATTAACTTTCTATTTCATTTGCATTATTTGCATTTACCATCAACCTACTCTATAAATTTCCCTTTTTACAAAATTTACATTTTCCTTCACTTTTTTGCACAGAACTTACATTTTTACAATAACAGTTAGCAGCTACATTTTTACAATACGTAACACAGTTTGCAACTTCACACTACTGAACGTTACATAGTCTCAGTGCCCTCTGATTTCACAGTTAGCATCCACAAAATTCCCTACTTTTTAAACTAGAATGATGTCATTACACTATAAGTTAAACCAAAACTAAGTATTTACTTGCCTTTTTATATTTTTAGATTGTATTTATTTTATATAATATTTCATTTTTCTTGCAATTTTTATTATGTTTAGAATTGTGTTTTAGTTTATTTTGGTTTGCATGCATAATTTGTGTCAGGGATATATATGTTTGGGATTATAAGTTACTTTGGTTATGTACTTTTAATTTATAATAATTTTCTCCTGTAGTGGTTCTGTTTTCTAAATTTCTCGAAATTTCCTTATATATTAAATTTCTCATTTTACATGTTGCTACTTTTGCTTTTGTGTATTTCTTAACCTATACCTATATAGATAATGAAACATGAATTGGGTTATTAAAGAGTTAGGTTTGGGGGCAAGTTCCCCTTGAAAAGATCTGTCTCCTCTCTGCTCAACAAGTATTGACTTTATGCAAATTAAAATTTATTAAAAAAACTTAAAATTTTATAGATAAAAAATTTTAGGATTGTATTATTTTTTTCTTATATTTACACGCTTGAACTTTATTTACCTATGTTTTGGAATTTAATGACATTGCAAATTAGTTTGCAGCCATAATCAGTTTATTTTGTTTGCAATTTACATAATTTAAAATTTTAATTTCCTTTATATGAATGAGAATATATTATATTTATTAAATTTTCATAAGGCATTTAGCCTGAAATACCCATCAATAAACAAACTTATTAATGGGCTTTTATGGCTTATTCGAATGGAAATTGTGTGGCAGTCATTTGAACCCACTTAGACATATTGTAGATATTGTTTCCCAGAGCATTAACATTTTCTTTACATACCCTTTGCAAAATAGTGAATGCTTCTTTCAGTGCATACTTCGAAAACGTTAAGCAGGTTTTCATACTGTACACCTCTGGGGAATCATCAGAGGGAGTGATTACTGTCAGCTGTGAAAGCTGTCTATCATGCCAGTCCTTTGCCCTTTATCAGAATATACAAAAGTATTTTTTTAGCTTTTCTAGAATTAATCTAAGGAACATTTTATGACTGCCAGATGCCATTTAAGGGATTATCTGAAATAGCTGGGAAGTGCTACTTCATAAATAGTGGAAAGTATTCGAAAGTGATATCTGATGTAAATTTTTTAACAGTAAATGTTAACTATATTGTAATATTAACAATAACTTATTGTAATACTAACAGTAATTGTTAACTAGTATTTTTAACAGGCATTATGTTAATCAAATTAAAGTTTGTAGAAAATTGTGAATTAATACATTAAAAGGAAGAGAATTTTAAATATTCATAAGTATTTTTACTAATAGACTTCCATTTATATTCCATTTATATACCATATATATATCCATATTTATGAACAATATGCATACGGTCATATTATCAAAAT